GGCTTTCTCTAGTTGCAGCGAGTGGGGGCTACTCTTCGTTGCAGTGCACGGGCTTCTCATTGTGGTGGCTTCTCTTGTTGTGAAGCACAGACTCTAGGCACGCGGGCTTCAGTAGTTGTGGCACGTGGGCTCACTAGTTGTGGCTTACGGGCTCCAGAGCACAGGCTCAGTAGTTGTGGTGCATGGGCTTAGTTGCTCCGTGGCATGTGGAATCTTCCCGAACCAGGAGTCGAACCCATGTCCCCTGCATTGGCAGGCAGATTCTTATCCACTGCGCCACCAAGGAAGTCCCCAGTAATTGATTTTTGACCCACTTCCCCCCAGCAGCATTCTTTGTGACCTCCCTCACCTTTGTAAATGACAGCAACATTTACCTAGTTGCTCAAGGCAAAAGCACTTGGGAGTATCTTGATTTCTCTTTTCCTCACATTCTACACCCAATCTGTCAGTAAGCTCTGTTGGTTTTATCACCAAGATATATCCCCAGTGCAGCCACTTGTCATTCTTTCCAGTGCTGTACCCCTAGTCCACAGCCTTTTGCACTGAGACTGTGCAAGGGCTTCCTAACCAGCCTTCCTCACCCCCAGCCCTGTCTCCTGTCTGTCCTCCATGCTGCAACCTTCTTATTTATTTATTTATTTTATGGCCACCATGCGGCATGTGGGATCTTAGTTCCCTGACCAGGGATCGAACCTGCGCCCCCTGCGGTGGAAGCTCAGAGTCTTAACCACTGGACCACCAGGGAAGTCCCAGCTGCAACCTTCTAAAGCTTAAATCACATTCAGTATCACGTCCCTGCTTAAAACCTACCAGTGGCCCTCACTAAAACTGGAAACAAATCTACACTGTTTACGAAAGCTGTGAGGCTTCTTCCTATGCCTCTGATCTCTCCCCGTTCTACTCTCCCGAGGTCCTTGCATGAGCCACATGGACCCTCTCAAAGCTGCTTCTTCTCTCATGGCCTTTGTACCTGCTGCTTCTTCCACTAGAAGCTCTTCTCCCGCATCTTTAGCACATATCAGTACCTGAAATTACCCTTTTCATGTAGTAGTTGTCATGTGTGTTGCATGTCCCCGCCCCCCCGCCCCCACCCCCCCTTCCCATGCCCCAGTAGAAGAGAATAGAAGCTCTTGTCTCTCTTGTTTACAGCTGTATCCCCAGAGCCTGGGGCAGGGCCTGAGTCATAGTAGAAGCTCAGTGTACATTTGCTGACTGATTTGTCTGTGAGGACTATAGCTAAGATTGTTAGAACTAGGTAGAAGAAAAACAGTCCAGCCTCATGGTTTCACAGATGGGGAAGCAGAGGCAGGGATGCAAACTTATGAGAGCCAAGTTGATTGTGTACAATCCGTAGGTTTCATTTTCATAAGCAGTAGTAGCCGCTAAAGGTGAAGGTTAGTTATTTCCTCCTACAATCTCCCTGCCAGGATTATCATGATAATAGATCTCAGAACAAATTCTGCTACCCGTACAAATATGTATACAACAAGCATTTAAAAAAAAAAAAAACAAAAAAAAACAAGCATTTACTAGCAGGAAGCCACAAAACCGGTTCATACAGTCTGTTCTGTAAAGTCCGTGAAGGCTCAGCCCTCTGTCCTTTTAGGTGCTCTGTCACCTTGCATGAAGGGTCCACTCAAGAAAGATACAACGTTCTAGGTGCAGGATTCAGCTAGACAGATGGTCACATCAGGCAACCAGAATCCCTCAGGATTTGGGATGCCTCAAGGATTTAGCCCAGTGCATCATCCTTAAGTGAGATTTTTTTTTTTTACTCTGAAGAGGGAATGGATGGTGCCCCTCATCATTTTAGCCAATCTACATATCTCGAATGCTACAGGCACACCTTGTTTTATTGCACTTCGCTTTATTGTGCTTTGAAGATACTGCGTTTTTTTACAAATTGGTTTGTGGGAGCCCTGTGTCAAGTCCAACAGCATTTGCTCATTTCATGTCTCTGTGTCACATTTTGGTAATTCTTGCAATATTTCAAATTTTTTCATTATTATATTTGTTGTGGTGATCAGTGACCTTCAATGTTACTATTGCAGAAAGATTATGACTCGATGAAGGCTCAGATGATGAATAGCATTTTTTAGCAATGAAGTATTTTTATTTATTTTGTATTTTTTAAAAGTTTATATTTTTATTTTTTAAAAGTTTACTTATTCTTGGCTGTGTTGGGTCTTCGTGGCTGGGTCTTCTAGTTGTGGCGAGCGGGGGCCATTCTTCGTTGCGGTGCACGGGCTTTTCATTGTGGTGGCTTCTCTTGTAGTGTAGTACAGGCTCTAGGTGCTTGGGCTTCAGTAGTTGCAGCACGCGGGCTCAGTAGTTGTGGCTTGTGGGCTTAGTTGCTCCATGGCATGTGGGATCTTCCTGGACCAGGGACTGAACCCATGTCCTCTGCATTGGCAGGCAGATTCTTAACCACTGCGCCACCAGGAAGTCCAGCAGTGGACTGTTTTTAAATTAGACATATATATTGCTTTTTTAGACATAATGCTATTGCACACTTAGTAGACAGTGGTATAGTATAAATGTATCTTTTATATGCACTGGGTAACAAAAATTCCTGTCGCTCACTTTATTGCGATATTGGCTTTATTGTAGTGGTCTGGAACCCAGCCTACGATATCTCCAAGGTATGCCGGCAGTAATTTCACCAAAAGATAGCTTATTTCTAATACCTGTTGTGCTAATTAATAAGCCATGAATTTCACTGATACATTCATTATGGAGCTCTCTATGCTAATCATTACTGAGAGAGGGAGAGCTGCAGGGCTGTGCTGAGCTGATTGGGTGTGATTGTGTACATCTCAGACATGGCGGAAGTATTTACACTATGGAAAGTGGCAACAGGGTCTCCCTGCCCACCCTACCAACCAGAGAGCCAGTTATTAAACATTGACCAGTGCACCACTGGATAGCTTAGAGCCCTCTGGACTGTGGCCTTTCTGATAAATTCTGGCCGACCACCTCACCCTCATGACTACCTCTAGACTTGGTGATAGCCATAGCTGCACTTTAGAAATTACCTGGCACCTTTACAACAATATTGATTCCCAGGCCCCGGTTGGTGGAGATTCTGACTTAACTGGACTGGGGTGGGGCTTGGATATCAGGATACATTTGAAGCTCACCACGTGGTTCGAAGCTGCAGCCAGGGTCACACTCCCACCTCTGTGTCATACTATTTATGCCACATATACTAACAAAGTTAATGGCAAAGCCAGGCTTGGCACCAGGCCTGCTGACCCCCAGCCCAGAGGTCCTGGCAAAAGGAGAGAAAAATTGAAAATAGGTCATTACTTCTTCTGAGATTTCAGTATTTGCAGATGTGTCTGAGGAGCAGCCCATAGTGCTTGGGGTCAGGTTGGGGGTGGGAGGGACAATGAAGTTGCCCAGGAGCCCGGGAAAGGCTGTGCTAGCCCCAAAGAGCTCCAGGCTCCCTCTGCGGGGGTGTCTCAGCCTCATCCCTCGGGGCGTCATCGTTTAGGGGCTCAGGGAGAGCTGAGAGGGACCACTCAGATGTGTGTGTGTCACTAGGGAAGATTTGAAAGAGGAGAGCGTGCAGCTAGCTAGAGAGGTCAGGACTAAGACGGGGGCAACTAAAAGAAAACCGGAGTGGGGAAGGAGGCTAGGAGGCGAACCCCCAGGGAGAGGGAGACAGACAACCCCTCCTAGGGCAAGGTGCTGAGCTAGCCCTTCTGGGGATGGAGATGACCACCTCCATGAGTGGGTGTAAGCCTGGCTCTGTGGGGCTGGTGAGGGAAGGTAGTCCTGCAAAGAGGGGTAAAGATTTAATTTCTTCCTCCTTAAAGGACAGAAAGGATGACTTCTAACCTTGGGGTAGGATGCCTTTTTAGCCCCTGGTTATTCATTTGAAGGTGACCCTCAGCAGTTCCTGGTTCCAAGTCTCTACCCAACCTTGCAAGGCTCGCTTCCTAGTACCAGGAAACTGGCTTCCTTTTAACTCCCTGGGCAGGGCATTGCCTCCCTCCCCACCCCCACCTTACTTTCTTCTTTCTATGGCAGAGCCCTGAGGGCTGGGACAGCCTGGTCTCTGTTTCTCTCTGGGAGGCTTGGGAGTCCAGGGCAGGGGACTGGGACAAGTGTGCCATTCCTGCAGTCACCACCAGGGACCCCACCTAGCGCTGCCGTGAGCTCACAACCTCTGGGCCACACATTTAATTCCTGAATGGCACACACACTGATTGCCGGCTTCCCAAGTCCCAGGCTGAGCTAGGCCTGCAGGGAAAGGAAATAGCAGTGAGTCAAGCAGGGGCCGTGGGAGACAGACTCACAGCCAGGAAGACAGATTCTGACCCCGGGCAGGGGAAAGGCTGGGTGCGAAGAAGCTGGGTCAGAGCTGGGCTGAGTGTGTGCAAGGGAGGGGGCTCCTGAGTTGGGGTGAGGGGGTGAGGGCTTCTCAGAGGAGGAGGCCACTGGGGCAGGGTTGGGATCTCACCTGGCCGCAGAGAAGGGGAATCTCAGAGACCTGGGGAAAAGCCTCCAAACTGTTACAAAAGGAAACTGCGGGCCTCAGCTCCACGAGGGCCCCTAGCCGCTCCCTCGTCTGCAGCACCTTCCTAGATGCGGCTCTCCCACCCCCTTAGGCTGAGGAACTCCACTTCCTTATTCCATGCATGCCTTGCACACTCATTTGCACACTTTAACACCTTAGCCATAAATTCCTGCTCTTTTTCCATAGTCTTCTCTCTTGACAACAGTGGAAAGCGAGCATTTCTGTGTACCCTGAATGAAGCACTCTAGCTGTCTCCCTAGCGCCCCTCTGCCCACACTCTCCCACGGCCCCCAACGTGCCTGAGTACAGGCGCTTCCACAGCTGCACGCGACCTCTTTCGCAAAACCCTCGCCCCCGCCCCTCCCTCGGCCTCCTCTGGGTCCAGGCCGCTGCCCCGCCCCAGGCCCGCCCCCTCCCAGAGCGCCCATTGGCCCTGGGGCTGGGTGGGCCCGGGCCGGGGCTGTGATTGCGGCTCGCCGGTGTCAGTCCCCGAGTGAGCGCCGGTGGCGGGGCGGGGAGCCGGGCAGGCAGCCTCAGGTGGGGCTGCTGGCCGCGACGGACCCAGCCCGGGAGACCCCCAGGATGCCCCGCGGAGACTCGGAGCAGGTGCGCTACTGCGCGCGCCTCTCCTATCTCTGGCTCAAGTTCTCGCTCGTCATCTACTCCACGGTGTTCTGGGTGAGTGACCCCAGTCGGGCCCAGGCATGGGAGGGGAGTCGGCACTCCCTTGTTCACCCACACGCTGAGCCGGCGGTGGGGGTGGGCTGGGTCCAGGCTTGTCTGCTCCAGGGAGGGGCAGAAGCGCACTCCTGGATTCTCGTCCCACTCTCCTTGTGAACTAGGAAATTATGGTTGCTCCAGCTCCGCCTGAGTTTCAGCCGCTCGGTGCGGAGCCTTAGAGCTTGGTGGCAACGTCTCAGACGAAGGAGCTCCCACACGAAGGAGCTCCGCCCGGCTCACCTGTGTGCACCTGACCAGCAGTTTGGTTCTGCGAGTCCGCTGCGCTTCCGCTGGTGCCGTAGGCTGTGGTTACCACGTTTGGCCGCGCTCACCCCACCTGCCGGGTATTACTGAGTTCGTCTCTCTATCCGTCTGCGGAGAAGTGGTCGGGCTTTGTTGTCCGGAGTCGGGAGACCTGAACTCCTTATGCTGTCCCCACGATTTACTTGCCGATGCCCCTGAGCAAGATGCTTTTCCAGGTGCCTTGATTTCCTCTTTGGTGAAAGGAGGATTCCACCAGACGTGTGGTCTCCGGCTGCTCCCAGGTGCTCAGTAACTTAAAAAAGCCCCTGCACTTAACCTTCTCTCTCTCTTGTTGGGGACAGGGTGGTAGTGGCTGGACATGAACCAGCCTTCGAATCCTGCCACTACCACTTTCCAGCGGCGTGATCTCGGGGAAGTTACTTCAACTCTCTAGGCCATAGTTTCCCGGTCTGCAAATGGAGACAGTAATTATACTCAACTTTCAGAATGGTTGTGGAGATTAAATGAAACAGGTCAAGTACATTGCTTAGCACAGGGACCAGTGAAGAGCTTAAGAGGTGTCAGCCATTATTATTATGGGCAAGGGAGCTGGGCCCTCCTGGTAAGCTGCCCCAATAGACTGGATTTCTTTATGGAGATTTCAGACTAGGCTGGGCCCCCTTGTAGAAATGAGGACATCTTTCTACAGGCCAGTGCCAGCCCTGCCACTCTAGAATAGCCCCCTACCCCCAGTATGCCACAGGGCAGACTTGCCCAGGTACCTGACACCTCTCCCCACAGGGCAGACTTGCCCAGGTACCTGACACCCCTCCCCACAGGGCAGACTTGCCCAGGTACCTGACACCCCTCTGCCTCAAAACACATGCACACTCCTGGTCTTCTCCTCAGCCCTCACTGGGTCTGTTCTGCTGGCAGGAACTGTTAGATCTGCCATCAAGCCTGGCTTTCCTTGTGACCCCTCTGTGTATGTGACCTTACCTGGTAGTCAAGAGATCCAGATTCTAGTCTTGTTCTGTTTTGAATCACTGGGAGAGCTTAGGCAAGTCATTTCCATGTTTGGGGCCTCAGAGCTGTTAATTGACTTGCCCAGCTCCCAGTCCAATTCTCTGACTATGTAATGTGGAAGAGAGAAGAGCAGTATGTGTGGGGGCCGGAGGATGGAGCACAGACCCATTGATGGAGGCTCCAGGGAGGCAGAAGGTTTTATATGGAACTGGATGGGGGTGATTTGAGCTGTCATTCAGTGGTTCTCAAAGTTGCATCAGAATCAAGTACAGAATTTTAAAAACACTACAGTTACCTAGGCCCTGGCCTATGTATTTATTTAAACTTATTTAAGCTCCCCAGGTAATTCTAGTGTGTGGTCAGGGTTAAAAACGGCTGAGTTAGATGGTCTCGTAGGCTCTTTGATTCTGATTCTGGGTTTTTCTTGCCTTCTCCTTGTTCGTCTGGCCTCAGAAGCTCATTCTCTGTAGGTCAGAGTTGAAAGAAAGAAGGCTAAGGTTGATGGGTGGAGAGGTGAGAAAATAGGGGAAGACCAGGAGTCAGAAGGTGGGGATTACTTTTTTGGCTTCACCCCTTCTCTTGATATATAATCACTGACCAGTCTCTTAACCTCTTCGCGCCTCCATTTTTCCATCTGTAAAATGGATAACTGATACCCTGCCCCACACTTCATTGGATTGTTTTTGGGGTTAGTGATGTGGGGAAACAGTGACATGTGGGGAAACCAAGGACTATAAAAAAGAAAGTTGCACAGTTAAAACGGAACTCGAATTTTCAAGGCCTGTCCTGTCACTGTCCCCTGCAGCCCTGAGAAAAGACCACTCTGTGACCTTTGCTTTGTCTCTCTTGGAGCAGGGTGGGACTCAGAACTCAGAATCTTTCCTTTCCAGCCACCTGAGATTGCCTTACCAAATCGTTAACTTCCCATCCCTGCAGGTATTTGTGCTTAAAAATCTCCCTAGGCATGCCAAGAGCTCAGCCACCTGCCAGGGCAACTCCAGGTGCCAGAATTTGACTGCAGGGTGGAGGCCCAGTTTAAGTAATTTGTCCTAGACTGGGTTTGCTGTTAATTGGAAGCCATTACAGGAGAGCCTATCGTCTCCATCCCTTGGGAGGAGGAGTAGGGCCAAGGGTTACTTGCTTTATAAGCCCAAAGTGCCAACACTTTCTTCTCAGTATTTAAGGAGCCATAAGTTTTACCATAGCCATGCACCTTCTATAGGGCTTTTTGCTTTAAAACTTACTATCAAATAGGAAATGCAAGGAGACTGTACAACATTTAAAAGTATAGAAGAATCGTCATCAGTGATAAGCCTTCCTCCTATCCCTCTCTCCTGGCCTGCCCTGTCCAGAGGAGGCCTCTGTTATGAGTTTCTTATGATTCTTTTCTGATATGCAATCCTAGGCACAGGATGTCCTAGGCACAAACATGTGCATATGTTATATATTCCTTTTTGCTCCCCCTGCATAAAGTAGCATACTATACACAGCTCTGCCCTTACCTTTTCACTTAAATTTAAATCTGCGTAAAATTTGGAGCTTTGCTAGGGGCTGCCTCATTCTGTTTGATGGCTGCATAGAATTCACTGTAGGCTAGGCCAAAATAGACTTCATCAGTCTCCAGCTGGGGAACTCAGGTTGTTTCCAATCTTTCGTTACTGCAGACAGTGCCGCAGTGAGCATCTTCGAACGTGTCATTTTGCACATATGTGTGTATGTCTTCAGGGTAATTTCTAAAAGTGGAATTGCTGGGTTAAAGGGTATATGAATATATAATATACATACAAGAATACACTCATACTAAGTGTGTACAACTTGATTAATTTTTACAAAGTGAACACCAATGTATAATCAGCCCCCAGGTCAACCAGCAGAATGGACCAGAAGAAGCCAGCAACTCCCATTGTGTCCACTGCCAGTCGCTACCCCTTCTCACCAGTAGTAATCACTATTGGGATGTCTAATAGCACAGAACAGCTTCACCTGTTTTTGTATGTGCATTAAAAATGTTGATAGATGTTGTTCAAATAGCCATACGTAGAGGCTGTAACTATTATAATATTGTTTACATGTAATATTACATTACTTTAAGCTGATTCACTTTTTAAACTTAAGTTTATTTTTAAAAGGAGGCTTTATATCACCACTGCCATTGGGGAACCAATATTCCTCATCAAAAATAGCAGGTAGAAATGCAGATCAAAACTACAATGAGGTATCACCTAACATCAGTTAGAATGGCCAGCATCAAAAAATCTACAAACAGGGACTTCCCTGGTGGCGCAGTGGTTAAGAATCCGCCTGCTAATTTAGGGAACACGGGTTCGAGCCCTGGTCCGGGAAGATCCCACATGCTGTGGAGCGAGTAAGCCTGTGCACCACAATTACTGAGCCTGTGCTCTAGAGCCCGCGAGCCACAACTCCTGAGCCCACGCGCCGCAACTACCGAAGCCCGCGCGCCTAGAGCCCATGCTCTGCAACAAGAGAAGCCACCGCAGTGAGAAGCCTGGGCACCGCAACAAAGAGTAGCTCCTGCTCGCCACAACTAGAGAAAGCCTGCGTGAAGTAATGAAGACCCAACACAGGCATAAATAAATAAATAAACAAACAAAAAATCTACAAACAATAAATGCTGGAGAGGATGTGGAGAAAAGGGAACCCTCTTGCACTGTTGGTGGGAATGCAGACTGATACAGCCACTATGGAGAACAGTACGGAGGTCCCTTAAAAAACTGAAACTAGAACTACCATATGACCCAGCAATCCCACTACTGGACATATACCCTGAGAAAACCATAATTCAGAAAGAGTCATGTACCACAATGTTCATTGCAGCACTATTTACAATAGCCAGGACATGGAAGCAACCTAAATGTCCACCTACAGATGAATGGATAAAGAAGATGTGGCACATATATACAATGGAATATTACTCAGCCATAAAAAGAAACGAAAGTGAGTTATTTGTAGTGAGGTGGATGGACCTAGAGTCTGTCATACAGAGTGAAGTAAGTCAGAAAGAGAAAAACAAATACCGTATGCTAACACATATATATGGAATCTAAAAAAAAAAAAGAAAAAAATTGTTATGATGAACCTAGGGGCAGGACAGGAATAAAGATGCAGACGTAGAGAATGGACTTGAGGACACGGGGAGGGGGAAGGGTAAGCTGGGACAAAGTGAGAGCGTGGCATGGACATATATACACTACCAAATGTAAAATAGATAGCTAGTGGGAAGCAGCCACGTAGCACAGGGAGATCAGCTTGGTGCTTTGTGACCTCCTAGAGGGGTGGGATAGGGAGGGTGGGAGGGAGACGCAAGAGGGAGGAGATATGAGGATATATATATACATATAGCTGATTCACTTTGTTATACAGTAGAAACTAACAAAACTTTGTAAAGCAGTTATACTCCAATAAAGATGTTAAAAAAAGAGCAGGTAAATATGACAGTAAATATAGTGCAGGGAAGACAAAACAAGTTATTTAATCCTAGCTAGATACTGTGGGTGCTGTAGGCTGCAAACCTGAGGCTTGCCCTGGTTGTTTAAAAGCAGTTTGGCAAGTGTTTGAGAGGCGTAAAGACAAACTGACACCAAAGCTGAGATTTGCTCCTTGATGAGATTGGAAAGATCAGAAGGGAAATGAGCAATGAAAACTTCTCAGTCTATGAGTCAATATGAACA